CAAGCCTGGGAAACTGTCTCCAAATATAAAATGAACAGGGCTGGGGATATAACTCACTATGAAAGCCTAGTGTGTGTGTGTGTGTGTGTGTGTGTGTGTGTGAGAGAGAGAGACAGAGAGACAGAGAGACAGAGAGAGAGAGACAGAGAGACAGAGACAGAGACAGAGAGAGCACACATGCACCCAGCCCTTATCAAAACTTCTCTATGACTAAAAAGAGCAATGCCTACAAAATAAGGCTATAATACATTTCCTCTGCAAGAATTTTAAGGCCATAGGAAAATAATCTCTCACATTCATGTAAACAAGCATTCTCACAAAACTTGTCTCTCATTCATTCTTCTAAAATGTCATTTGTGCTCCATATATAATGTGTGTATATATATATATATATATATATATATATGGGTTTTTTTAGAGGGGAGGGACACTGAGACAAGAAGATCAGCATGAGTTCAAGGCCTCAAACTTAACAAGCCCTATCTCCACTATATATACAAGATATAATTTATTCTTCCCATAGAAAAACATTTTTCTTCCCCTTCTTTCTCCTACTAAATCAAGGATAGAAGCCAAAAATCTCAGCCACCCCTGAGTTACTCATCTCCAAACACCACTTTATGCATCTTGCATACATAAACTCTTTTACAGAATAAAAAAATTAAATAAATACACTATTGCTATCTTTTGTTAATCTGTCTCTGGTCAGTTTAATTCCCAAGACTAGCATCAGAGGAGGAAGTATTTCCTTCCCTATCTTACTTTACTTTTTCACTCTTCTACCATTTATTTCCCACATAGCATGCAGAACCAATCCAGCTAAAACACAGGTCAGAGCTGGGGTGGGAGCCCATCCCTATAATGCTAGCACTCAGGTGGGCTGAGGCAGGAGAATCACAAATCTGAGCTCAATTTGGGCAATTTAGTAATTGAGACTCTGTCTCAAAATAAGAATAAAAAATAAGTCAGGTATAGTGACACACATCTGTAATTCCAGTACTTGGGGCTTAAGGCAGGAGGATCACTGCAAGTTCGAGACCAGTCTGGACTACAAAGTGTGTTCAGGCCAGCCTGAACTGCACAGTGAAACTGTCTCAGATAGATGGACAGATGGACTGGGGATACAGATATAACTCAGTGCAAAGGGCCTAAACTCAATTCCCAAAATACAATGAGTCAATTCATATCATTTTTCAAACTCTAATGGTTTCTCACATTACTTAGCAGTAAAAGCCAAATTGCTTAAAATATTGTAGTGCTGGGGATGCAGTTCAGTGGTATAAGTGTATGCTCTGCATGTGCTAGGCTCCTGGCAGGCATGTTACGCATGTGCGCACGCACACACAGACACACAGACACACACACAAATACCCTGTTAAGACCACATAGTAAGTATCTACATAAATCTTTCCTCTGCCTTTGGAAACACAATGGTGGCTTAAAAATCAGGACCATTCAGCCATACTCCCAGTGCCCTATTGTCTTTGTTTCCTTTTATAATATTTTCCACTTATTCCAGTCTCTGATACAGTATTCTGAACTTCTTTTTGTCCTGACTATATATATATATATATATAATCCCTGGTTCCGCAAAAAAAAAAAAAAAAAAAATTATATAGACAGGATATTCTTTTTGCATCTTGTACTGCGAATAACCACTAAGGACAATGTACAATGTATTAATTTTTTTTTTCTTTTTTTTTTTTCAGAACCGGGGATTGAACTCACACCCTTGCACTTGCCAGGGAAGCGCTTATTCCACTAAGCCATCTCCCTGGCCCACAATGTATTAATTTTTGAAACTGTCCTATTAATCAGTTTTGAAACTGTCTCACTGATATTTGTTTCTCAATAAAATACAAAATTGGAATCTTACTGCCTCAGCTTTCTGAGTGCTAGATTATAGGTATGCATCAAAATGCCTGGCTATATTCTTTTTATGTTTTATAAACAAGGTTGATGCATTAGTAGATTGTAAAATTCAACTGACCATAGTGTGTGTTTGGGAGACTGAGTCTAGAGCCTTTATACTAAGCTACATTTCCAACCCTTTTTACTTATTTTTTAAACAGGATTTCACTAAATTGCTAAACTGCCAGACTGGGCTCAAACTTGCTATCCTCCTACCTCAGCTGTCCAGAGTGCTAGGTTGTACCACTATGCCTGGACTATTTGGGTTTTTTTGTTATAGAAAAAAACTGCACAGTAGATAGTAAACAAAAGAGTTGATTCATAAAGCTTTGTGTGCCATTTGCCAACTAGGTAAAATATATTTGTTTAGGGCAAGATCAGAAAAATTGGAAAGTCACTGCTCTACGAACCTTGAGTGACTTTCTTTCTAAAATCAACAACATTCAAGGATGAAAAATACATGCTGTCACTAAGAAATGTGCTGAGGCTGAATCTGTGGTCAATTACATCAGTTGAGAAACTGGGAAATAATTTCAAGGAACTATACTCCTCCTTTACTCTGTCTTCACTCTATGTCTCCCTTCTTGCCTCAAATATTTGGGTCAGATCCCTGCTCAGCTCTACAAGTAGTTAAGTCAATTACTGCAGGAAATCCAAGAGACTAGAGAGACACGGATGAAACAAGACGACTTTATTGGTCAAGGGATGTACTCACTTAGCTAACACAAACCGAAGTTCCAGGTCTGACCATCAGACAAAGAAAGAAGCTTTCTTTCGTATTGTTTGTGGCAGGAAATGGGCAAAAATTACAAAGCAAGACAAAAACAGCCCATTCTAGTATCACCTCCTTATCTTGTGTCACCTCCTTATCTTAACCTTGAAAAGAAACAGGAGTCCTATAGTCACAAATTGTTAGACTGCTATGAGCCTCCAACTTGGGATGTTGCCTTCCTGTGGGAGGAGATATGGGAGATAATTGAAGCTATCTCCCTTATCACTAAAGAAAACTACAAGGCCGCATTCCTAGGGAAGGGGATGTCAGAAGGCTTAAGGATGAGGAAGATTTCTGATCAGAGGCTTGTTTTTTTCTAAAATCCTGTGGGTTTTTTTTTTTTTTTGGCAGAACCAGGGATTGAACTCAGGCCCTTGAGCTTGCCAGGGAAGCACTTACTCCACTGAGCCATCTCCCCGGCCCCTAAAATCCTGCTTTTAAACACTTAAGGAGAGCCAGGCATAGAGGTACATGCCTGTGATCCCAGCTAGTGCTACAAAGTGGGCTCAAGGCCAGCCTGAACTGCAGGGAGAGACCCTGTCTCAAAAAACAAAAACAAACAAACAAACAAACAAAAAACCCAATACTTGGGTTATATCACAAAATAGATCAATTCTTAAAATTTACTTCGCCCCTCTCTTCTGTTTCAAGACTGAGAACACCAAGACAAAAGTAATTTCCAGGACTTATGGGATGGTCCAATTGCCAGTTTTTATGAGGTCCAATAAAAGACCTACTGGAGCAATGCCTGAAGTCTCCAGTCACTGCCCTCAACCTGCAACCACCTCAGATTCCAGGAAAAGCAGAGTCTCACAGACCAGTCCAGAAGGCCCCCTAATTGGGCGCAATGACCCCAAGGCAGGAACTGAGGTGGTTTCCAAAGCTGGAGCTGCCATTTTACTGCCCCAGGTAAAGATGGCTCTCCCTGGGGCTCACAGAATCATGCCGGAGATACCCACCAACCAGACCACATCTAGAACCAGAAGGCTCTGCAAACCCCCAACCTTTCCGGGCCTCTTTTCCCCTCCTAGAAAACATCAAAGCTTATCTGAGCTTCCCAGCATGACCATGCTGACTGAAGTTCCTTTCCAGTCTGTTACCACTACTAGTCCCCTTGATGTCACAGGCAGGGAAAGCCTGATCCTTTGTTAACACCAATAGCAAGGGTCAAATGTTCAGGAACGCTCGAAGCAGGTATATAAAGGCATTCAACATATTCTCTTGCACAGACCCTAAAACTTCTTTTTCTTTTTTTTTTTCCCCCCGAATGCCTTCAGGGCAGATTTGGCTGGCTGGAGTAGTGGGGATCAACCACAGCAACCTGAGCCTGACTGCTTTGTTGAAGCAGCCACTTAAAGAACTGAGCTAAGGGGCAGGCCCCCCCCTAAAATTTCTTTTTAAAAATGTTTACCATTTACAAAGTGATCCAACTCATTTATTTACTTTATCCTCAACAGCTCTCCAAGCAGAAGAATGCTGAAGTGCTTATCCTCACAGATAAATGACTTGCACAGGTTCCAAAACGTGAGGTCACAACTCGTGACTCTGAATGCCACACACCAGGACTGTGGCAGGGCTAGGTTAAATCCCACTTCATAACCTTGGAAAATCTTCAGCTGCGGAATAATTTTTTTTTCTTTTCTTTTCTTTTTTTTGTGGTACTGGGGATTGAACTCAGGACTCTGTGCTTGCCAGGCAGGCACTCATTCTACTGAGCTATCTCCGCAGCCTTGGAATAAAAATATTACTCAAGACACCAGAAATGAAATGATGCCACCGTTCTGTGTTTTGGCTTTCATTGGTTTTTTTGTTTTGTTTTTTGAGACAGGATCTCACTAGCAATTCAAGGTAGGCTTGAACTCAATAGGTAGTCCAGGATGGCCTCGAACTCGCAGGAATGCTCCTGCCTCAGCCTCCCGAGTGTGCCACCAGGACGGCCCCAAATGACGCCACTTTTAAAAAATGTTTCAAAACGAAACGAAGAGTGCCTGCCTTGGGAGCTCTCAGTCCTTGGTCCTAATCCAGCTCCAGAGAGGCACCGGGAGTCCGGAAGGCTCTCGGGGGCGGGGCGATCGGAGTTGTAAACAAAGGCAGTCGGGCCTCCCACCCCCGACCCTAACGCGGAGGGCGAGCCACCCGACCCCGACCACCATACACGGCACGTGCAGCCTGGACCCCCAGGGCCCTCACAATCCAGAGCCCAGCCAGTCTCCCTGACGGCCTTTGGAGCCAAAGCCCGTCCATATCCGGACTTGGGACTCCTTATCGCCCTTCCCCGAACCGCTGGTCCAGCAATGACACAGGACTCCAAACTCACCCAGCTGGCGAGGGAGAAGACACCCAGCACAGCACCCATGGTGGCGCCGGCGATGGAGGTGGAGGTGGAGGTGGAGGTGGAGGTGGAGGTGGAGGTGGCTGGTCTGCTAGCTTCAGGTGCTGAGGTAACTGCCAGCTGAAGCGTCGCCCCAGAAACGCGAGCGCTCCTCCGGCCGGAAATACGGCCCACCCTTCGCTGGATGCGTGGCTGGCGTCCTTGCGTGGCCCCGCCCACCGCCCGGTGAGTGGCTGCTAAGGGGCGCGCCTCTCATTGGTTAGTAGAAGGAAAGGCGGGGCTAAACCAGCCCGGGGTTGCAAGCGCTGTCAAAGGGTCCTTTTGCTTGAACTCCATCCTAAGTGAAGACTGGCACAGAAAAGCACTTTTAGACACAATAAAGTTGTGGCTCACGCCTAAGTACTATGAAGAAGTAATATAGGGGAGTGTTTCAAAAAGTATATGTTTAGAGGCTGGTGAGATGGCTCAGTGGTCTAAAGCACCTACTTAGAACAAGCTTAGCAAAACACAGGGACCACGGTTCAATCCCCCAGCACCACAAGCCAGCCTGCCCCGCCCCCTGGTGGGCTGAGCTGGCCACACACACACACACACACACACATACACACAAATTTTTTTAAAAAGTATATATTTAGGAGGTAGACCAGGGATAGAGAGCAGCTTCCCTGGCTTGAAGGATTGGGTTAAATCCCCTACTTAAAAAAAAAAAAAAAAACACTAAATATGCTTTTTTTGGAGGCAGGGTCTCAATATGTAGGCCAAGCTGGTCTTGAACCCATGGCAATCCACCTACCGAGATCACTCTGCCCCACTCGTACTTAATATTTAAGTGGAAAATAACAGTAGGGAAATAGTCTTCAAATGCTCTTTAGATAAATTTTTTAAAATTTTGTTGTTGTGCTGGAGACTGAGACCACAATCCTGAGTGCATTAGGCAAGTACTAAACCTTCAGTCCCTTCAACCAGAAAATGAATCCAACATTTCATTCCATAAAATCAAATAAATGGCCAGGCAGCTTGAAGCATGTCTGTAATGCCAGCACTAAGGAGGATGTGGCAGGAAGATCTCTGAGTTTAAGACCAGCTGGGACAACATAGTGAGTTCAAACCTAGCCTGAAAGACATAGTGAGACTCAGTCTGGGAAAAAAAAAAAAAAAGACTGAATGTGCTGAAGATCTAAGAAAAGGAGAAAAGGAGGTTGGTTTTATAAACAGAAAAAAAAAATCTGGCTAGCCAAATAGGTCAGTGGATTAAAGCACCTGCAAGCAGGTGCAGGGGCCCAGGGTTCAATTCCCGGGCCCACTGAGAGAGCAATTGAGACTGGGTGCTCATAATCCCAGCTCTTGAGAGGCTGTAAACAGGTGGATCACTATGAGTCTGATCTAGTAGTGAGGCCCTGAATACCCTGTAGACCCTTCCCTAAAAAAAAAAAAAAAAAAAAAAAAAAGATAGTTGCACTTGCCAAATCAGACCCTTTTCTATGTCTTGGGCTGAGGATGTAGCTCAAAAGTGTAAGTACTTACTCTACTGAGCTATCTCCCTGACCCCTCATTTTGATTTTAAGCTGGTCTGGTGAACCCCAAAGCAGGAGCTAAGACCAAAACAATGTGTCCTGCAATTTTTTGTTTTGTTTTTTGAGTCAAGGTTCCACTATGTAGCCCAGGCTGGCCTTGATCCTCCTACTTCAGCCCCCAACTGCTGGAATTACAGATGTGTACCACCACACTCAGCCCTTCCTATAATTTTAACTATTAAAATGTGAAATCTAGGGGGCCTGCCCCTTAGCTCAGTTCTTTAAGTGGCTGCTTCAACAAAGCTGTCAGGCTCAGGTTGCTGTGGTTCGATCCCCACAACTCAAGCCAGCCAAACCTGCCCTGAGGTCATTCGGCGCAAAAAAAAAAAAAAAGTGAAATCTACACCATTTGGGGGAAGTGAAAGGATGTAAGAGTGCACGTACTGATGATTAACTTTGAAAGACATATCCTATTTCAAATCAATGGGCTAAAGAGATCAAAGAGATTTTAAAAAGCTCACTACAATTTTTTTTTTTTTTTTTTCTGGAAACGGGGATTGAACTCAGACCTTTGCACTTGCCAGGGAAGCACCTATTCTACTGAGCCATCTCCCCAGCCCCTACTCACTACATTCTTGTTAAGGGAAAACTCGAAAAAAAAAAAGAAAAGAAATGACAATCTTAAATATATATGCACCAAATACAGGAGCACCAAACTATATAAAACAAATATTAATGGATATGAAAAATCAAATAAGCACTATCACAGTTGTAACAGGGGGCCTTAACATCCCAATGTCACAAATAGATCAGGGGCTGGGGAGATAGCTCTGCGGTCTAAGCACCTTCCTAGCAAGCATAAGGACCCGGGTTTGATTCCAGTACCACATGCCATGTCAGAGCCAGAACACTGGGCACACCCTACCAGGCACTAAAACCAGGTGTGGCGGTACACACATGTATCCCAGTGCTAGGGAGACTGAGACAGGAGGATCACTATGAGTCTGAGCTTCATAGAGAGATCCTGTTCCAAATAAATAAAAGATTTTTTAAAAAAACAAATAGATTAAACTGAACCAAACCTGTGAACAAATGGATTTAATAGAGGTCTATAGAGTGTTCCACCCCAAAAATCAGAGTACATATTTTTCTTAGCTGCATACAGGATGTTCTCCAAAATAGACCAAATACTAGCCTACATAATATGCTTAAGTAAATACAAAGGGATTGAAATTATTCTGTGCATATTAACAGACTCCAAATACAGATGAACTACCAAAGCTGAATCAGAAAAATATAAAAATTCTAAATAACCTAATATCAGTGAATGAAATTGAAGATGTAATTAAAAATATACCAACAAAGAAAAACCCAGGTCTTGATGATACATAGCTGAATTCTAAAAGAATTTTAGAGAGGATCTAGTGTCATTACTCTGCAAACTCTTCAATGAAACAGAAAGGAAAAGAATACTTCCAAACTCATTCCAGGAAGCAATTATTAGCTTGGTAACAAAACCAGAGAACGATCCAACAAAAAAGAGGACCACAGGTCTATCTCTCCTAATGAACATAGATGCAAAAATCCTCAGTAAGATACTGGCAAACAATGCAGAAAATCATCAAAAAGATTATTCACCATGACCAACTAGGATTCATTCCAAGGATGCAAGGATACATGACATACACAAATCGATAAATATAATATACCATATCAGCAGAGCCAAGGACAAAAATCACATGCTCATCTCAATAGATGCAACAAAGCATTTGACAAAGTTCAATGCCTATTCAAGAGAAAAATTCTACAGAAGGGCCAGCGAGATAACTAGTGGACTAAGCGCCTCTTAGGCAAGCACAGAGACTGGGTTTGTTCCCCAGCACCATGCTCCACTGGTCCCACCCAGGAGGGTGCTGAGTGGGCCACCAAGTCCTGGCATGATGGTGCACACTTGTAATTCCAGTGCTGGGGAGGCTGGAAACAGGAGGATCACTATGAGTCTGAGCTGTATAGTGAGACCCTGTGCCAAATACATAAACATAAAAATAAAAATAAAACTCTACAGAAAATTTAAATAGATGGTATTTATCTCAATCTGATAAAATCCATCTGTGACAAACCAACAGCCAATATCATACTAAATGGACAAAAACTGAAAGCTTTCACCTGAAAATCAGAAACAAGACAAGGATGTTCACTTCTACCATGCTGGAAATATTGGCCAGAGCAATTAGACATAAGAGAAAAGTGAAAGGAATAATGATAGGAAAGGAAGAAGTTAAATTATCATTATTTGAAGATGACATGACACTCTACAGAGAAGATGCCAAAAATTTCACCGAAAGAATTCTAGACATAATAAGCAGGTTCAATAGAGTGGCTGGATACAAAGTCAACACCCAAAAATCAATAGCATTCTGTACACAAACTTACTGAGAGAAAAGTGAGGGGAACA